AGAGGGAAATAAAGAATTAATCAAACACATAGAAGAACCGAAGAAAAGAAACAAAAAATGAAAGAATAAAAAAGACGAATGAAATCACAAGCAGACAAACAAAAGAAAGAAATGCAAAAATGAGGGAAAGAAAGACAGAAATAAAAAAGGAGGAAAAGAACAAACTAAACCGAAAGAAAGAAACGAAAAAATGAGAAGAAAAAAAAACGAATAACAGAAAAAAGAAAGAAACAAAGAAAGAAAGAAAGAAAGAAACAAAGAAAGAATGAAAGATAAATAGAAAAAAAGAAAGAGAATGTATAAAAAACAAGAAAGGGCCAAACAGACGAAATAAATAAGATAGAAACGAACAGCAAAAAGAAGAATAAAAGAAAAATTGATAGAAAGTATGAAGGTGGAATGAAATAAAGAAAGATAAAAAAGAAAGAAAATGAAAGGGTCAAACAAGCGAAAGAAATAAGAAAGAAACAAAAACGAACAACAGAATGAAAGAGTGAGAGAAAGATTGAAAGAAAATTATGAAGGAAAGAAAGAAAGAAAGATAAAAGATAAAGAAAAAATAAAAAGGATCAATCAAACGAAAGAAATAAGAATGAAACAACAAGCAACAGAAAGGGAGAATGTAAGAATGCATGACAGAAAGAAAGAAAGAAAGAAAGAAAGAAAGAAAGAAAGAAAGAATGAATGAATGAATGAAAGAAAGAAAGAAAAGATGAAACAAGCAAAACAGATAAGAAAGAAAGAAACGAAGAATAGAAAAAAATAATGAAAGAAAGACAGGAAGGAAGAAAACAGAGAAAGTTAAACAAAAATTGAAAAGATAAAACATACGAAAGAGATAAGAAAGAAAAAATTAACAACAGAAAGAAAGAATGAAATAAAGTATGAAGGAAATTATGAAAGAAAGAAAGGAAGAAAGCAAGAAAGATAAATTATAGAGAATGAATGAAAGTGTCACTCAAACGAAAGAATTATAAAAGAAGGAAACGAATATCAGAAAGAATGAAGGAAAGAACAGAAGAAAGTATGAAAGAAAGAAAATTCTTTCTCCCGAATCGTCTGTTACAGAATCTTCCGTTACCAAATTTTCTATTACCGAATCTTCAGTTACCGAATCTTCTGTTACCGAATCTTCCGTTACCAAATTTTCTGTTACCGAATCTTCCGTTACCAAATTTTCTATTACCGAATCTTCCGTTACCGAATCTTCTGTTACCGAATATTCCGTTACCAAATTTTCTGTTACCGAATCTTCCGTTACCAAATTTTCTATTACCGAATCTTCTGTTGCTGAATCTTCCATTACCAATTATTCTGTTACCGAATCTTCCGTTACCGAATCTTCTATTGATGAATCTTCCGTTACTAAATTTTCTGTTACCGAATCTTGTGTTGCTGAATCTTCCGTTACCAAATTTTCTTTTTCTGAATCTTCCGTTACTGAATCTTCTGTTGCTGAATCTTCCGTTACCAAATTTTCTGTTACCGAATCTTCGGTTACCAAATTTTCTATTACCGAATCTTCTGTTACCGAATCTTCTGTTACCAAATTTTCTGTTACCGAATCTTCCGTTACCAAATTTTCTATTACCGAATCTTCCGTTACCGAATTTTCTGTTACTGAATCTTCCGTAACCAAATTTTCTATTACCGAATCTTCTGTTACCGAATTTTCTATTACCGAATCTTCTGTTGCTGAATCTTCCGTTAACAAATTTTCTGTTACCGAATCTTCCGTTACCAAATTTTCTATTACCGAATCTTCTGTTACCGAATCTTCCGTTACCAAATTTTCTATTACCGAATCTTCTGTTACCGAATCTTCCGTTACCAAATTTTCTATTACCGAATCTTCTGTTGCTGAATCTTCCGTTAACAAATTTTCTGTTACCGAATCTTCCATTACCAATTATTCTGTTACCGAATCTTCCGTTACCGAATCTTTTGTTGATGAATCTTCCGTTACTAAATTTTCTGTTACAGAATCTTCCGTTACCAAATTTTCTGTTACAGAATCTTCCGTTTCCAAATTTTCTGTTACAGAATCTTCCGTTTGCGAATCTTCTGTTGCTGAATCTTCCGTTACCGAATCTAATGTCGCCGAATCTTACTTATTTTTTCTACAAAATTATGAAACTCGGATCAAATGAGAATGAATGAATAAAAAACCAAGCTAAAGAAGGAAATCTCAAGGAATGAAGCTGAAGGTAGGAAATGAAACTTGAGGAATGAAAGAATAACCGGTGATGTATGAAAATATGGCTAAGATAAAAAAAAAAAAAAAGAATTATCAACACAACATAGAATGAAAAGTGAATGTATCAAAGAAAAGTTAACAAAAGGATGAAAAGTTTATCAAGGAAATAAAGAAAAAAACACGGAAAGAAGGAAAAATAAGTTTGGAATAGAAAAGAATGTCAACTAAGAAAAGGTAAAATAAAGGAATGACAGAAAAATGGACGAATGTCAAAGAAAGAATTCTACGATAAAACGAAAGAAACATGAAGTAAAAAAGTAACGAAAATAAAATCAATAAACAAAAACGAAACATAGGAAAGAGAAATGTTTTTCTTAATCAATTCAAGCAACGAAAGGACATGATGCCACTAAAACACAAAGAATTACTGGAAATGAATGAATTTCTACGATGAAGCCTTGTCAATTATTATTCTTTTTTGATTAGTATTTCTTTCATCTTATTTCTTTTGCTTTTCCACCAAGTAGTAATAGTCTTAAGTTGTCTGAATTTCTTAAATGAAGCCTTGTCAATTATTATTCATTTTTGACTAGTATTTCTTTCATCTTATTTCTTTTGCTTTTCCACCACGTAATAATAGTCTTAATTTGTCTGAATTTCTTAGAGGAAACCTTGTCAATTATTATTCATTTTTTACTAGTATTTCTTTCATCTTATTTCTCTTGCTTTTCCACCAAGTAGTAATAGTCTTAAGTTGTCTGAATTTCTTAGATGAAGCCTTGTCAATTATTATTCATTTTTGACTAGTATTTCTTTCATCTTATTTTTCTTGCTTTTCCACCAAGTAGTAATAGTCTTAAGTTGTCTGAATTTCTTAAATGAAGCCTTGTCAATTAATATTCATTTTTGACTAGTATTTCTTTCATCTTATTTTTCTTGCTTTTCCACCAAGTAGTAATAGTCTTAAGTTGTCTGAATTTCTTAAATGAAGCCTTGTCAATTATTATTCATTTTTGACTAGTATTTCTTTCATCTTATTTCTCTTGCTTTTCCACCACGTAATAATAGTCTTAATTTGTCTGAATTTCTTAGAGGAAGCCTTGTCAATTATTATTCATTTTTTACTAGTATTTCTTTCATCTTATTTCTCTTGCTTTTCCACCAAGTAGTAATAGTCTTAAGTTGTCTGAATTTCTTAGATGAAGCCTTGTCAATTATTATTCATTTTTGACTAGTATTTCTTTAATCTTATTTTTCTTGCTTTTCCACCAAGTAGTAATAGTCTTAAGTTGTCTGAATTTCTTAAATGAAGCCTTGTCAATTATTATTCATTTTTGACTAGTATTTCTTTTATCTTATTTTTCTTGCTTTTCCACCAAGTAGTAATAGGCTTAAGTTGTCTGAATTTCTTAGATGAAGCCTTGTCAATTATTATTCATTTTTGACTAGTATTTCTTTCATCTTATTTCTCTTGCTTTTCCATCAAGTAGTAATAGTCTTAAATTGTTTGAATTTCTTAGATGAAGCCTTGTCAATTATTAATCTTTTTGACCAGTATTTCTTTCATCTTATTTCTCTTGCTTTTTCACCAAGTAGTAATAGTCCTAAGTTGTCTGAATTTCTTAGATGAATCCTTGTCTGTTATTATTCATTTTTGACTAGTATTTCTTTCATTTTATTTCTCTTAATTTTAAACGATATATCAATATTTTCTAATTTTTTTCCAAATGAAATATTGTCAATTATTACTATTTTTTTATTAGTATTTCTTTCATGACATTTCGCATTTCTTTTTTATCTCGTCGTGATTTTTTAATTTATCTGAATTTCTTAGATGAAGCCTTGTGCGTTAATTATTTTGACCTCGTATTTTTTCATCTGTTTCTCTTTATGTTACCCTGTTTACAAAACCACCATTTATTTTAACTTTTTTGCTTGTTTATCGTAACATTCTTTTCGCTTTTTTCACAGTATTCGGTCGTTTTTTTATATTCTGTAACATTTAAACTCATGTTTCGTTTGATGAAATGAAATAAAATCTTTATGAATCTATCCTATTAAATGATTTTATCAAATATTGATTGATTGATGTAAGTAATCATAATACCTCATCTCAGAGATATAGACATACATTAATTTCGCTCAATGTCCTTTTCTGTTGCTAGAGCCATTAAACTATCAACTCTACAGCACCTGGTTTTCTCATCTTGGTATTGAGCAAGCTCGCAGTTGCTTAACTTCGGTGATCCTACGACAACTGTTGTTTCAAGGTTTCATCAAATATAGTGCTTGAAACTTTGTGTCATTTTAATACATGATGCTTTCGAAACACGAGGAGTTAAATCTCTATTTTACACTGTTGTGCATTGTGTCTTATCGCACACGAATATAGTCAACCAGTTTGTTCTATTTGGAATGAACTCAGATTGACGAACGATAATGCAGTTAAGGTTATAAAGCATGAATGGAATGTGACGTCAATAATTAATCAATGTAATTTAGATAATGCAGAATCTTATACACGCTGTGGTAACTGACGCGTCAGGCAAATACATACATACACAACCATATGTCGGTGTTCGGACCCACTTATCCAACCGCTGAGTTCCAGAAAGGAGGCATTTATGCAGGTCGTAACAGAATGTGATATAAAGTCGAGTTTATTAGAGTTGATTTACAAAAAGCAAGATACAAGTCATTTGAAAGTTGATACTTGAAACGTCTAACCAATCACCAGTTTTTATCATTTGCCTTCTATCTATCGACTAGTCTAAGTCTGGTCCGTACGATCTATTCCAGTCAGCACAAATCTTTATATCTCATTCTATTCCTATCTATCTATCTATCTATCTATCTATCTATCTATCTATCTATCTATCTATCTCTCGCAGTCTGTTCTATCTATCTATCTATCTATCTATCTATCTATCTATCTATGTCTATCTATATATCTATCTCATTCAGCACAAATCTATATATCTCATTCGACTCTTATCTATCTATCTATCTATCTAGTCTGCCACACACACACATTTATATATATATATATATATATATATATATATATATATATATATATATATATATATATCATTCAATCCCATCCATCTATCTATCTATCTATCTATCTATCTATCTAGTCTGCACAAATTTATATATATCATTCCATTCCCTATTCATCTATCTATATATATATATATATATATATATATATATATAGTCTGTCACACACACACACACACATATCATTCTATTCCTATATATCCATCTCTCTCTCTCTGTCTATCTATCTATCTATCTATCTATCTATCTATCTATCTAGTCTACACACACACACACACACATATCATTCTATTCCTATATATCCATCTCTCTCTATATCTATCTATCTATCTATCTTTCTTTCTATCTATCTGAGTCTTTTCAGATATATTTCAGTCTGTTCCTATCTATCTCAATCTGTTCATATCTATCTATCTATCTATCTATCTATCTATCTATCTATCTATCTATCTCTGTTTAAAACTAATTATCTATATATCTATTTCAGTCTGTTCAAATCCATTTATATATCTATCAATCTATTGCGTTCTGTTTCTATCTCTTTATTTACCGCTGGCTGTCCTTATCTCCCTTTCTATCTATTTAACCTCGTTTGTTCATATTTGTCTATCTATCTATCTATCTATCTATCTGTCTGTCTGTCTGTCTATCTATCTATCTATCTATCTATCTATCTAACCCCATCCGTTCATTGCTTTCTTCCTATCTATGTATCTATCCCAGTTTATTCATTTCTGCCTGCCTATTAATTCAAATTATAAAGCAAAAGAGGGACGCAGGTTCGAATCCTATCGTAGCGCACTTTTTATTTATTATGTTTTCTCGACTCCATCGATAGACGAGATAAATATAAATTAAAATAAACGAAAGGTCTATTTAAATATGGGTATCCACTAAAAATGACGTTTGTGCGGGATTTTATTACTTACATAATATGGTTTAGGTCTCATGTAAATAGTTTATATTCATATTGTACATTGAGGATTTTTTAACTTGCTGTTTTTATTACCCTCCACCGACAGACAACGATTTGTATAAATGGGGAGTATTTAGGATTTTCATTCAGACAATGAGATATTTTGGTTGATGTAGTAAGAAAGGTAAGTGAGAATGTGTTGTCTTGGTGCTAGTATTATTGTTTGTGTGTTTGGGTCAGTGGTTGTGGCCAGCTAAGTTTTAAAATTAAGACAGATGATGACCGTCTTTTTCCCCATTCCCCTCTCTAGGCCTTGTGCCACATTTTCTGTGTTTTTAACAGGAATTAATATCGTCGAGCTGGCATCAATCCCAATAACCGTTCCGAGCTGCCTGCTATGTTTCGGCAGATCGAGCCATTTTTGACATCTCGTCGGGTAGTTTTAGCCAGGTATTGGAATGCCGTCCTTGACCCCGATATAGATCGCATAGGGCCAAATTTGGGTACTAACAACCGGGACGTGAAACCATTTTTGGACTTTATTGACAAGTTCGATCTTGCCTCGGGAGGTAGTTTGAATTTGGAAAATAGTGACGGCTCGGGTCCTGGGTTACTTGCTAACTATCTCAACCGAGTCTTAGTTAGGAGAGTCGATGTAGGGCTCTTAGGGTGTCCAAGTTTCCATTATATAGTTTATTCGGAACATAGGCTTGTCCGGGTCCGTGTAAACTTAGATAAGCCTAAGGTTAGTTTGTTTGGCTATTGGAAATTAAACTGCTCATTATTTGGTGATCAGGATTTTCGGGACAAGCTGTTACTAATGATACAGAGGGAATTGACGGGGGCGGTTGTTGGGAATGCCTGTTGGGATAATTTAAAATAAAAAATTAGAACGTTTGCTGCTGATTTTAGCCGTCGACTAAGTTTAGATAGATTAGCAGCGCAAACGGTTTGTTAGTAAAAGTCGATCGGGAAGCTAAATCCCGTGATAGCGAAGAAATAGCTTTAGCTAAGGCCGAGTTGTCAAGTTATCAAGGAGGATCAAGCTCTGGTAGTTAGGGCTAGGTTAAAAAAAAATGTCTTCTGAGGGGACAAATATGGCCGCTGAATTGCGCGCAAAAGAGAATCGGAGCGCGCCTCGGCGACATATCGCGTGCGTCACATTGCCGGATAAGCAGACTGTGTGATTGCTTGGGATTAATGAATGTCTGTATTTCATTATAGGCCCGCATCGATTTCGTCCAGTTAACTGATATTTCTGCCACATTTTAATGTTTAAGGGGGTATTACTAACATGATTTTGTTTAATTTCTTGTAAACAGTTTATATTCATATTGTACATACTCATTGGGGATCTTTTAACTCGTTTTATTCCCCTCCCTCCACAGATGACGATTTGTACATATAGGGAGTAATTAGGATTTTCATTCAGACAATGAGGTATTTTGGTGGATGTAGTAAGAAAGGTGCATAAGAATGTGTTGTTTTGGTGGTAGGAATATTGTTTGTATGCTTGGGTCAGTGGTTGTGGCTAGATAAATTTTAAAATTAAGACAGATGATGACCCTCTTTTTAGGCCTTGTGCCACATTTTTGTGTATTTTTAACAGAAATAAATATTGTCGAGCTGGTATCTGCGAGAACTAGCGGCCTTGCAATAACAGCACGCACATAACTGTACTGACTTGCGAAGACCGTACGCATAACTATTATTTCCTTGCTTGTTGTACGGGTTTCTACAATAAACCTGTTACTATTTATCCACTATGTTTGTCCATTCCATATTCCTATTAGCACGGAATATAACATGAGAACAGATTTTTTTTTTACCCAACGGAACAAGTGCTAATCATGAATTTCAGATTTCAAATTTTATAAACGCTTACCTCATATTTTCATTAAAAATGTAGAAAAATATGATAAACTAACATTAAATAAAGAACGCTTTCTACTGAGTATTCAGTTTCTAGTTTAAAAAAAGCGCTGGGAACATTTGCACAGACCGCTCATATTTTATAACCAACTCTTTTAACATTTTTTTTTTAACAACTATTTATTTCCTCTTTTCTTTGTTCTCTTTGCAACTTTATTTTTCGCATGTTTGAGAAATCCTGTTCTTGCCAACAAATTGGAAACTGACGATATAATTGCCAAATCTCTTTTCCTTCTATGTTATTTTCTTGTGAAGTTTTCTATTTATTTACCTTTCTCTTCTCGAATTTTGTTAAAAACCATTTTATCGTGCTTTTCTACGGCTACAATTTACCTTTTAAAGTTGTTCCTTGCTTTAAAAAAATCCTACTTGTTATTTGTATCGAATTATTTTATTTCTTTTCGTTTCGTTTTTCGGTTGTTTGTAAATTCCGAACGTTGTTTGTTGTCAGCCATTTTTTAAAACTCTCATGTTTTTCCTGTTCGTACATTTCATCATTTTTTTTTGTCTAATTTGTTCGTTATCGTTTATTCAATTTTTTTTTTATTTCTAAGTCCCTTCATCTTAAAACTAACCGATACATTTTCTTCAATGCGTATTTTGTTTTTTATGATTTTTAATTGTTTTAGTGTTCACCTGGCGAAAACGGTGTCTAACAAGAAATTCGCCTGCGAATTAAATTCCACTCGTGTTCCTGCTAAAAAAAATCTTTTTTTTTTTTTTCAGAAATGATGTTCTTATTTTTCCTTTTATTTATTTATTTATTTATAATTTTTTGTAGTTCTGTGTCGTCTTTTTAGTCATTCCTCATTTCTTCCTAGGCTGGCGAGAACCATGACTTACAAGAAATTCTTCAACAAATTAAATTCTACTCTTTAACAGATGCTCCCTTACACATCTAACATGTTTAGGAAATAGTTTTCTTTTTGGAAACTTCCATATTTCTCTTTTCTTCTTTCTTTTCGTATTTCTTTCTTTCCCTATTTTCCCTTTGTTCTTTCTTTCTAAATCTCCATTATCCCATTATCGTATGATATTCACACGCTGTGTTTTGTGGGGTTTTTTTGTTGTTGTTTTTTTGTTTACTTCTACTTATTTATTTAACAGCTGTTTCGTAAAATAATTGGATGTTTTGGTACACATCATCGCTGATGTTGCTAGCCGAGGTTTTTTAGGGGTTACGGATCTTTCAACATGATACCACCTCTCCACGGTGACCCAGCCGATACTGATCGGGTATCGGGTATCGATTTGTGTACCTTCCGTTAGCTACAGTTGAATAACTTATAAGTGGTAATATTACCGAGAAAAAACACGCCGGCGGTCCGACAGCGGTAAACGTTAGTACCATGCCAGCGAGCGGCGGATTGATGAGTTGCGTGTAGGATTTTGGTGCACAATATTGAGCAATTTTATACTCATTACATGTCTGTCGTAGCTGACAAAATTGTGCAAAATGAAAAAAGCTAGATCAAAAAACTATATTTATATAAAAAAAATAATTTAGTCAGTACGAAATAACAATAACCTCCTTCACCAACTCCCTTTAAAGTCGGAAGACTGAGGAAGAAGGAATGTGAGATTTTGACTTTTATAGAAATTAACTGGTTAGTTGCGAAGAAGGAAAGAAATTCGTGAGCCAATGTGAAATCTTGACTTTTAGAGAAATTAACTGGATAGTTGCGAAGAAGGAAAGAAATTCGCGAGCCAATGTGAGAGTTTGACTTTTATAGAAATTAACTGGGTAGTTGCGAAAAAGGAAAGAAATCCGTGAGCCAATGTGAAATCTTGACTTTTACAGAAATTAACTGGATAGTTGCGAAGAAGGAAAGAAATTCGCGAGCCAATGTGAGAGTTTGACTTTTATAGAAATTAACTGGGTAGTTGCGAAAAAGGAAAGAAATTCGTGAGCCAATGTGAAATCTTGACTTTTACAGAAATTAACTGGGTAGTTGCGAAGAAGGAAACAAATTCGCGAGCCAATGTGAGAGTTTGACTTTTATAGAAATTAACTGGGTAGTTGCGAAGAAGGAAAGAAATTCGCGAGCCAGTGTGAGAGTTTGACTTTTATAGAAATTAACTGGGTAGCTGCGAAGAAGGAAAGAAATTACTAAGTGTACGAGAAATGATTTTTAGACCAATGAAAACCTTGCTTTCACAGAAATTGGCCGTTGAGCTACGAAGAAGAAGGAAAGTATGTAGCGAGACTACGTGAAATTGTTTTTGGTATAAAATGAGGGGAAAATTAAATAAATGAGAACAGTGTCTGATGTCACGTGAAAGGTTTCGTTTCAGTTCCTCGCGATTCGCGTTGAAGTACTCCCGAAAACTATCACCTTAAAATGACGCCTACAATGTACCGTGAAAATTTTTAATTTTACATATCCAGAACTTTTTTTTTTCTTTTTACTAATTTTATCTCTTTCTGGTGGCCACTTTGTCAATAAAATGTCGTTTGGGCCAAACCTCTCTAATCAGAATCATCCTGAGGATCCGTTAGATTTAACCTAGGTAGGTAAGTAGGTTCTAACTCTTTAGGTATTTTAATTTTACTCTATTTTACTTATTTTAATTTACACAGTCTATTGAGCACTTTTACGTATCAACATAGTCGGTGTTTTTCTCTTTTGGCTAGACTTTACAGTGCTGGTTGGTTATGTTCAAGCAGTACGGATGTTGTTGGGGTCTTTTCTTTCTTTATTATTTTTTTTTTTCCAAATATCAATTTGTGTAATATTTTATATATATATATATATATATATATATATATATATATATATATATTTTCTTCGAGTTTTCTTTTTATCTTCTTTTCTTCAATGTATATTTCCGAGCATTCTTCTTCTTCTTCTTTACTACTACTACTACTAGTAGTAGTAATTCTTCTTTGCCTGAATTTTCTTCTTCCTCTTCTACTACTACTTCTTTTTCAACTACTACTACAACTTCTGTTTCTACATCATTTTCTTCTTCTTCTTCTTCCTCTTCTTCTGCGTCTTTTTCTTCTGAATTTTCTTCTACTGCTTCTTCTTCTTCTTTCTCCTCCTCCTCTTCTTCTTTGTCTTCTGCTTCTTCTTTTTCTGAATTTTCTTCTTTCTCCTCCTCTTCTTCTTCTTCTTCCTCTTCTTGTGCTTCTTCTTCTGAATTTTCTTTTATACTGCTTCTCCTTTTTTCTTCTTCTGAATTTTCTCCTTCTTCTTCTTCTTAATTTTCTTCTACTTCTTCTTCTTCTTTTGATTCTTCATGTTTACTACCATTACTAGCAGTATTTCTTCTACTTCCTCTTCTACTTCTTCTTCTGAATTTTCTTCTACTTCTTGTTCTTGCTTTTCTTCTTCTTCTTTTGAGTCTCCTTCTTTAATACTTCTACTAGCAATTCTTCTTCTTCTTTTTCCTCTTCCTCTTCTTCTGAATTTTCTTCTTCTTCCTCCTTTTCTCCTTCTTCTTCTTCCTCTTATTCTTCTACCTCTTCTTTTTCTTCTACTACTACTACTACTTCTGTTTCTATATCATTTTCTTCTTCTTCTTCTTCTTCATTTGATTCTTCTCCTTTACTACTACTACTACTACTAGTAATTCTTCTTCTGTTTCTTCTTCTTCCTCTTCTTTTTTTTTCTGAATTTTCTTCTTCTCCTTCTTCTTCTCCTTCTTCTTCTTTTTCTTCTTCTACTACTACTACTTCTGCTTCTACATCATTTTCTTCTCCTTCATTTGATTCTTCTTCTTCTTTACTCCTACTGCTACTAGTACTTCTTCTTCTTCCTCTTCTTCTGTTTCTGTTTCTTCTTCTTTTTCTTCTTCCCTTGACATACAACATCCACCTCTTTTTAAAACCTTTTTTTTCTGCGACACGTTTCCTACTCCAATATTCATCTCCCCCACCGACAGTGTCCGCTTCAAATCACATTTCGTTAAAGGGTTTTCGCGACTAAATGACAAAGAAGCTAATCTTATTTGAAATTCAGAATAGAGAAAAAATGCCAAGCAAATGAGCAGAAAATTTGTTGAAACAAAAGGAGGGGAACGAAATTAAATAAGATTTAAAGGACGAATAGAAAATTGGAAAAAATGTTCTTCGAGAAAATCGAAAAAAGAATCGAAAAAAGTCAAGGAAAAGGGAAAGATACGAGAATAACAGAAAAGATAGAGGAATAGATAGATAGAAAAAAATCAAGATAGAAAGATAGAAAGATATGAACGATTGAGATGAACAAAAGAAATAGATGATAAATAAGGTTGAGAGAGATAGATAGATAGATAAATAGATAGATAGAGATAGATAGATAGATAGATGATGGAGGATGGATGAGATAGATAGATAGATAGATAGATAGATAGATAGATGGATAGATGGAGATAGATAGAGATAGATAATGAGAAGATGAGATAGACAGATAGATATGAAGAGGATAAGACTGAGATAGACAGCTAGATATTGATAGGGAAGTTGTTAAAACAGTAAGATAGATAGATAGATAGATAGATAGATAGATAGATAGATAGATAGATAGATAGAAGAACAGATATATATATATGATACATTGATAGATAGATGTGGACCGAATTGTATAGATAGACAGTCAGACAGAAGTGAACAGATTGAGATAGTGAGAGAGATATGAACAGACAGATAAATACACAGACAGACAGGCAGATAGACTGGGATAGACAGATAGATAAAGAGACATATATGAACAGACTGAGATAGATAGATAGATAGATAGATAGATAGATAGATAGATAGATGAATAGATAGATAATGAAGAGACATAGGTAGATAGATAGATAGATAGATAGATAGATAGATAGATAGATAATGAAGAGACATAGATAGATAGATAGATAGATAGATAGATAGATAGATAGATAGATAGATAGATAGATAGATAGATATGAATAGTGTGATACTGATAGATATGATTAAACTGAGATGGATAGACAGACATACATGACCAGACTAAGATAGCTAGCTAGCTAGATAGCGAGACAAACATGAACAACTTGAGATAGATAGATATAGAGGCAGATATGTATATACTGAGATAGAAAAATATGAATAGATAGATAGATAGATAGATAGATAGATAGATAGATAGATAGATAGATAGATAGATAGATAGATAGATAGATAGATATTATTAGACAGATGGATATACAGACATACAGGAACAGACTGTGATATATAGACAGATAGATAAATAGACAGACAGATATGAACAGAATGATATAAATAAATAGACAGACAAACAAAAAAAGCACAGACTGGGATAAATAGCTAGATAGCTACATAGGTAGACAGAGAGAAAGCATATATGAACCGATTGAGATAGATAGACAGACTGACAGACAGATAAGAATAGATATAACGTTTGAATTGATAAGCAATATGTTGGATTGATAAAAATTGCATTACTTAGAAAATTCGATTTTTTTTTTTTTGCTTTTGGATACGAAACTGTGCATATATATGAAAATTTCAGACGATCTATGACGAGAGAAATTTCGCTTAAAGGTAACATTTCAGCTTTGCCCGACGAATTGGACAGAGTGTACTGGATTTAACTTCAGCGGTCCAGAAGGATGCGCGTTCGAATCCTACCAGACAGAACATTCTGGGCGGTAGACGAAAAGTTTTAGTTTCATAAATAAAAGGAGTGTTTACACAAAGACGAGTATCCATTTATAGTAACGTCTGAAGAGATAAAAGAATAGATTGATATGAACAGACTAAGATAGATAGATACATATGAACAGAATATATATATATATATATATATATATATATATATGAACAGAATAAGATAGATAGATAGATCGATAGATAGATAGATGAAAAGAATTAGATAGATAGATAGATAGATACGAATGGACTGAGAGAGATTAATACAGAATTGAAAAATTTCAAATTTTTTTTTGATGTAACGTAAATAAAATCTAAACGTTAAATTTATAAACGTTTCTTACTTGTTACTTATGTCATCATTCTGTTGGATTCTAATCTATATTTGATCTCAACTCATATGTAATATATATATATATATATATATATATATATATATATATATATATATATATGTGTGTGTGTGTGTGTGTGTGTGTGTGTGTGTGTGTGTGTGTGTGTGGAGTGCGTGCATGTGAAGAAATTTATGGACACGTTAGAAATAGACATGAAAGGCATGATAGACAAATTGATTAATAAAAACAGACATAAATATAAATTAAGTGACATAGATAGATATGAACAGAATGAGATAGATAGATAGATAGATAGATAGATAGATAGATACGGACAGAATCGTAGATAAATTGAATTATTTTAACAGACATTGAATAAATTGAGATCGCTTGCTATGAACAGAATGACAGACAAACAGACAGACGTAGGTGCATTCACTATGTTAGCATGGAAATTTAAATTATAGATTAATATGAACAGATAACTGAATTAAAGCACTACATTATTTAAGCATATACGTACAATACGCACACAAACACACTCACACACACACATAGATAGATAGATAGATAGATAGATAGATAGATAGATAGATAGATAGCAAGAGATTTAATAAATAGTAGAATGAAAGAGATAGCGAGAGTAGATTTTCTAAAATGTCATGTCGTGCATACTGACAATTGATGCCAAATAATAAAATGTTCACATTAAAATCAAAATGCTTATTCAATTACACATCGGCAAACTTGTTCGGGTACCTCTAGGCATATTATGTTGGCAGAAAAGAACCAACACGAAATATTAAATGCAAAACGAACAGCAGGAGAGAATGAAATTAGATTAAATATATGACAAAGAAGGATTTTTTTTTTAATTCTGTGAATGAATCAATATAATCCGATATATGATGGTTTGTGGGGGGGATGATTAAGAGAAGTCAAATGAAAAAGAAAGGAAAAGAAAGAAGGGAATAAAAGAAGAGAGGAAGAAAAATGAAGAAAAAAAGGAAATGAAAGAGAAACTTTAAGTGAAAGAGAGAGGGAATAAGTAAGGGCAAAAAGGGAGGAAAGAAATTATGAAAGTAAAAAAGTTAGTTTTACGGTACGTCCATCTTGTGGGGTTAATAATGTTTACTATGAAAATGCATTGCAAATGATTTTTACCATGAAAATGCATTGACCAATGATTTTTACTATGGAAATTCATTGCCAATGATTTTTATTATGAAAATGCATTGTCAATGATTTTTATTATGAAAATGCATTGGCCAATGATTTTTATTATGAAAATGCATTCGCCAATTATTTTTATTATGAAAATGCATTCGCCAATGATTTTTATTATGAAAATGCATTGTCAATGATTTTATTATGAAAATGCATTGGCCAATGATTTTTATTATGAAAATGCATTGTCAATGCATTGCCAATGATTTTTATTATGAAAATGCATTGTCAATGATTTTTTATGAAAATGCATTGGCCAATGATTTTTATTATGAAAATGCATTCGAAATTATTTTATTATGAAAATGCATTCGCCAATGATTTTTATTATGAAAATGCATTCGCCAATGATTTTATTATGAAAAATTGCATTGAAAATGCATTGTCAATGATTTTTTTTATGATTTTATTATGAAAAAAATGATTTTATTTAAAAAAAGATATTGTCAATGATTTTTATTATGAAAATACATTGGTCAATGATTTTATTATGAAAATGCATTGTCCAATGATTTTATTATGAAAAATACAATGTCCAATGATTTTTTATGAAAATGCATTGACCAATGATTTTTATTAAAAATGCTTTGTCCAATGATTTTATTTGAAAATACATTGGCCAATGATTTTTATTATGAAAATGCATTTCAATGATTTTTATTATGAAAAACATTGGTCAATGATTTTATTATGAAAAAGCATTGACCAATGATTTTTATTACGAAAAATACATTTTTTTTAAAATCAATGAAAATGCATTGACAAATGAAATGCATTGGCAAATGATTTTTATTATGAAAAAATGCAATGGTTTTATTATGAAAAAATGTCAATGATTTTTATTATTTTTGATTTTATTGAAAATACATTGTCAATGATTTTATTATGAAAATGCATTTTTATTATGAAAATTCATTGCCAATGATTTTTTTTGCCCAATGATTTTTGCCCAATGAATGAAATTAAAAAAATACATTGGTCAATGATTTTATTATGAAAATTTGACAATGATTTTTATTATGAAAATGCATTCGTCACAATTTTGATTTGGCCAATGGTTTTTATTATGAAAATACATTGGTCAATGATTTTTATTATGAAAATACATTGGTAAATGATTTTTATTATAAAAATGGATTGGCCAATGATTTTTTTTTTAGGAAAATGCATTGGCCAATGATTTTTATTAGGAAAATGCATTGGCTAATGCTTTTTATTATGAAAATGCATTGACAAATGATTTTTATTATGAAAATTCATTGCCAATGATTTTTATTATGAAAATTCATTGCCAATGATTTTTATTATGGAAATGCATTGGCCAATGATTTTTACTATGAAAATGCATTGACAATGATTTTTTATAATGAAAATCCATTGCCAATGATTTTACTATGAAATTTTTTTCAAGCGCCTAATGATAAGACACGTTTTGTTAGATGGCCGTTAGCTATTATATAGACACGTTAGAGATTAATGCATATACAAAGAAAGAAGAAGAAGAAGAAGAAGTAGAGGGGAAGTGACGGAGGGAGAAGAAAGGAAGTAAGAAAGAAAAATGAATTGAAGAATAAATTTAAAATTGATTTCGTTCGAGGAAAATATTAATAATTTTCCACGCAAGTCGTCAATTTAAAGTCTTTAATCCATGACATCGTGTTGCCTTTAGCGAAGATTATTTTTCAACAAGTCTAGACAGGAATCAATTTTAAAAGATCTAAACCAGTATCGTCGATCTGGTATTTATAAACAAAAAAAATGCCATATTGGGAATTTTGTTTCACTGGAAAAGCACAAAATATGTCAGAAAGAAAATCAATAAATACGTATCGCGAACTTATTAGGGAATTAAACATTTCGTGTACGAATTTCTGGTCTGAGGATTTTAACATAACGCCCCTTATCAGTATTCGAACTTGCGTCCTCGTTTTTGCTGTTGTTGGTATAAGTTTTGGGCCTACGTGATCTTTAGTGTGTCTGTCAATTTGGACCGAAGTCAGAAAGTTTTGAAATGAAATCCTGAATTTAATCAACAAAGAGCCGTAAGACAAACATGAGTGAGAAAATTGGACACCCCGAAGAGGTGTAATGGTTAGCAGGCTTGTCTCGCTTAGGACTGAGTAATGAGTTCGATCCTCACTGGGTACCTCATACTTTCGACCTCATTCACATCTAAGCTACGCTTGGAAAATCACTATAGAGGGAGGTAAATTATTTATATTATTCGGACTATTGTCCTCATCTTTGTCGCCAAGGACACAAGGCATAGTGGATAAAGGCGTTAGTTAGTTCCAGTGACAGGACCCAGACAGTGTGAGTTCAATACCCGGTTAAGGCAGTTGAGAACTTTCAGAGGGAAATTAACAGGAAATAACTGATAACTGACGTCCGTTAAACATGGTACGTGGAACTAGAACAGTCTACCCAAGTGAGCGAAATAAAGGGTTAAGTTCGACATTCCTACCACCTGAAGAAGGCCGGAGCGTACAACGGCCGAAACGTTGTAATGAATATGGCGACAATAGTCCAAATAATGTAAATAATGTACATAATACCTCATCTCAGGAATATAGACAGATACAGAGTGAGGTAACTCTGAGAGAACTAGAAGTCCTACTAGGATTCATTATTCGCGGCTACAATCTTAATAACATATGACACTGCGCTGAAAACAGACACAGAAATTAGACTACAAGCGCACCTACAGAATATAGTGAATAAAAGAAGGGACTAAACATTAATAACAAAAAGAAAAAAAACAATATGAAATTACAAATTGGAGATATCAAAATCGAACACGTACAACAATTTTAAATATCTGCGATGTTTTTGAACAGAGGGAGGGAAGTGACACCGAAATCCGAAGGAACATTAAGATATTGAATGATACTTTCCAAAAACTAAGGAAAGTATTAAGAAACATGAAAAAAATCGTTAGAATAATATAAAAGAGCACAGAACATTAATGTAAAATCAGTTCTCCTATAATCGCGATGTATGCTGGACAAACAGCTCACAGATGAAGAAGTGGACTGACGTCACAGAAATATGGATTTAGTATCTGTCTATAATTTTGAAATGAGGTATTATGTACATTATTTACATTATTCGGATATTGTCCTCATCTTTGTTGCCCTCATTTTGACCTTTTGTATCGCCATTACATTATCGGACTATTGTCCTCGTCTTTGTCGCCATACAACGTTTTCGGCCTTTACATTATTTACATTACCATCTTTGTCATATTTATTACAATTTCGGCCTTTGAGATCTGAGATGAGGTATTATTTACATTATTTTATTTACATTATTCGGACTATTGTCCTCATCTTTGTCGCCATATTTATTACAACGTTTTGGCCTTTCAGTATCTGTCTATATTTCTGAGATGCGGTATTATCTACACAATTTACATTATACAGTTATCAGTTATTTCCTGTTAATTCCTCTCTCCAAGTTCTCAACTGCCTTAACCGGGTATTGAACTCACACTGTTTGGGTCCTGTCACTGGATCTAACCATCTTCTTTATCCACTGTGCCATGTGTACTTGAGGACACCCCAGTTAGCGAAATAAAGGGTTCAGTTCGATATTTCAGCCACCTAAAAAAAGGCCGGAGTGTACAACGGCCGAAACGTTGTAATAAATATGGCGACAAAAATAAGGACAATAGTCCGAATAATGTAAAGAGTGTAAATATGCTTTTATTAAAGTATTTGTACCCTCTTACCTGTTTGCACTTCTCCGCAAACTTTCGTTTCGATAGTTCAATACATGGTTATTTTAGAAGGTGTGACGGACGGACGAAAGTCACAGAACTTTATATATATATATATATTATCCTACATTCCCGGCAATATCAGTAACGCTGTTAGTTTGTATGAAAATATATTCTACGTATCTTAGATAAATAGTGGATTTATTTAATTCAGAAAATGTTTGGTATTTCAAAATGAGCCATGTAAAACTTAGCGAATAAAAGGCCTGAATGGCTGCCCATAGCAACACCATCATTACCTAGTAGATAATTAAAGGGAAAATGTGTTGTGCACGTTAATAAAAGATTTTTGTTTTGTTTTTGTTTTTTATTTGTGGGGGGGGGGTGATTTTTAAATCAAGTCTCAAGTTTCATTCAAGTCTCTTGGCTTTGTTGGCTTTGCTTATTAGAGGCTGAAACCTTCGTGTACAAGATTTGTAGCCTTGTTCTAACAAGATTTGTAACCTTGTTCTGACGAACTGTTGAAGAGGCAAGACTAACACCTTGCTCTTCGCTTAGACTGGCTGCAATTTCTTGGCTAGTTATAGTCCTATTCTTCGCAACTTCTCTCTTGATTACCCTGCCAGTTCTATCATCAATCTTTTTCTTTTGTCCCCTTGTTTTCTTCCTTGGAGCAGGAGTGGCATCATTATGTGCCCTAAGCACTC